CATTCTTGTATCTTTGTGGTGGTGGATCTCCTCACAAAGATGGCGCACTTCGTTCCTTGTCCGAAAATCCCCACCGGGCCGGAAACTGCCCAGCTCTACCTCCATCACATCTTCCGGCTACATGGGGCCCCAGCACAGATCATATCAGATCGAGGCCCGCAATTCTCTTCCCGCTTCTGGCAGGCATTGCACCAGGGACTGGGGACGGAGGTTCACCTGTCATCCGCGTACCATCCCCAAACCGACGGCCAGACGGAGAGAACGAATGCCACTCTTGAACAATATCTCCGCTGTTATACCACGTACCAACAAGACAACTGGTACTCCTTGTTACCTTTGGCCGAGTTCGCCTACAATAACGCGGTGCACTCGTCCATCCAAGTCACCCCATTCGCAGCCAATTATGGATATAACCCCCGCTTCTTCTTGCCCGTTGGACCCCCATCTGACGTTCCTGCTGCAGATGCCAGGATCCAAGAGCTCCATGCACTTCACGAGCTCCTTCGGGAGCAATTACAACATGCCAAGGAAGCCTATAAACGGGCAGCGGACCGCCACCGACAGGAAGGGACACCCCTGAAAGTCGGCGACCTCGTCTGGCTCTCCACCCGGTACCTCCGCGCTCCTGGCCGCTGTGCCAAGCTCAACGCTCGCTTCATTGGGCCCTACAAAATAGACGCCCAGATCAACCCTGTAGCCTTCCGTCTTGTTCTACCAGATCATCTCAGGATTCACCCCGTATTCCATCGATCCCTCCTGCAATTGACAGCTCCTCCGGACCCGAACCGGGACACTCCACCAGCACCCCCACCTCCTGTCATGATCGATGACGAGGAGGAATACGAGGTGCAGCAGGTCCTCGATTCCCGCCTTCATAGGGGTGTCCTGCAGTACTTGGTGGACTGGAAGGGCTATGGTCCTGACGATCGATCCTGGGAACCTGCCTCTCACCTGCATGCCCCGGACTTGGTCCGGCACTTTCATACAGCCTACCCGGACAAACCTGGCCCTTTCGATGAGGGGGGGCCTGAGGGGGGGGATAGTGTCATGCCTGCCCCTGCTGATGTCATGCCTGCCTTTGCTGATGCCCCTGAACAGGCTCCTGAGGACCCTGAACAGGCTCCTGAGGACAGTACTGCAGCAGAAAGGCAAAGACTGGATCCTGTAGCTGAAAGCTATCTAAGTGGTGAGGAGGATAGAGCCTCCCAGGGAACACCTGCAAGGGATCAGTCTCTGCTGCAGCCCAGTAATTCATCATCAGACTCGCCTCCACCTGTAACCAGGCTCAGGAATGTAAGAAGACAACAGCTGAGAGAGCGAAGGCAGAATGCACGCATGCGTGCCAGAAGATCTCTTAGCCCTGATTACTGACAGGATCCTGTCCTCACTCCTGGCTAGCTAATGAGTTGATTAGCTAGCACTGTATATATGCAAGTCTGTTGCCAGCAGTCATTTGTGCTGGCAACATCGTTTGTTCAGGACCTGAATCCTTGCATCTCTGCTCCAGACCTTGTGGAATTCTTCTCGGCTTGATCCTTGGCTTTTGACCTTCGGCTTTGTTGACCCTGCGTTCATCTCTGACTCCTCTGGTATTGTTGTGATTTATGGACTTGAAACTTTGGTATGTCTGACCCTGCTTTTGGACTGTGATTTAAACCTGCTTGAACCTTGCTACCTGGTTTGCCCGGCTTGACCTCGGACTGTTCCTGGACTTTTGCTTGCTTGTGTCACGCCCCCTGGTCCTGCCGTGACACCAGCCCTCCAAGGTGTCTAGGTGCCAGTGACCACCCTGAGTCCAGGGCCGGCCCCAGGTTTTTTTGCACACTAGGCAAGGCTACCTTCTGACACATACACACCCGTGCACCCACCAATTTTCAAACATAAATGCATTTTAGGAAGAATGAAAAACACAAAAAAGAAGAAGCGGGGGTCCCATCTGCATATTTTTTGCAAAACAAAGAATCTTCCCGCTCTCCTCCAGGGACCCGCGGCAGCCCAGTCCTCCCCCCAGCCACCACGTGATGTACCGATAGGAAAGGAGAGGGGGCAAGGAAGGAAGCGTAGCCCCAAAGATGCCACAGAGGCTTTGGTTTCTGTAGCAGCTCGGAAGTTCTCCCTCCAGGAAAGGGACTCCGGTCTCTCCTCCCTGGAGAAGACCTCCATCTCTCTGCCTCCCGGTGTTCTCCCTTTCTCCTTTAGAGACAAGATGTTGGGGGCGCGGGTGGGGACGTTGTTGTTGTGCGGAACTGGAAGGAGCCTTGATGTCCCCCAAATGATCCGCTGCCAAAAACAGGACACGTTTAACCCTTCGTGCGGTGGCAGGAATTGGCGCTGGAGTCGCCAGCGACTTCCTGGGACGCCTGGATTTGGGGGTTTCCAGGAGAGGTGGCATTGGCTTCCACATGAGAAGGAAGAGCCAGGCCGATCGAGCAACTGAGTAAGGCTGAGCTCTTCCAAATGCTGCTCCAGCCCGACCCCAGAGCCTGTTTCCTGGGAAGCAGAGTCACTCTGGGTTCAGTTGGGCCAGAAATCCAGTCTTGTGTGCCTCTACTCTCCTGCATCCAATAAGACTTACTCACCGCGTAAGCCCCCTCCGTCCCCCCCGCGCCCTGACATGACCCCTGCCCAGCCACACAGGGCGCTTCACAGACCTCGGGAGGGGAGGGCAGCGAATCGGCGATGGGTGCACACAGGGCAGCAATGGGCGTGCTGTGAGTGATTTGGGGAGGGTGGGAGTGCCCGATCTGGATGGCACCGCTGCCTTTCCTCTCTGCCTTGGAACTCGGCCAGGCTTCACGAGGGAGACTCGCAGCAGAAACCCCCTTCCCTGCGCCTGTCCCAGGGAGGGAGCTGGGCAGGACGTCCCACCTGGAGTTGGTGGGGGAAGAGGAGGAGGATACCTTGCTGGCCGGGAGGGAAAGGGAAGTCCGGGCCCCGCGGGTGGGGGTGGCAGTGTGCTTCCTCCTCACCGGGCAAGGAGCTGCCAGCCCTCAGTCCCCACCCCCCGCTTCAGAGGCACGCCACCGCGGCCAGGGGCTGCGTGGGGTCAGGCGCCAGGAACACACTCCTCCTCCTCTGGAGAGCAGGGGCGGCAGCAGAGTTCTTGGGGTTGAGCAGCGACTTTTGGCGGGGTGGGGGGAGAGGGCGGCAGGGCAGTTCGGCGCCCTCCTCGGAGGCCCGCCCTAGGCAAAAGTCTCGTTTGCCTAGTGAGTGAGCTGGCCCTGCCTGAGACTCCTCCCAATGATGCATTGCTCTCCTGGCCTACCCAACCCTCATTGAGATTTATCTTTTTTGCTTCTCCTTCAGGACACTGACACCAAAAGATCATTTTGAGAATTACCCACCAATAAGTCCTAGCTTACCTTCCTTTGTGCCTATTAAAAGCTCTGTCTAGAGCCCGCTCCCCAGTGACTGGTTACCACAGGGACAGCTTACTTCACTTGTGTGCTGCTGGGGAATTACCCGTCAAGCAATCAGCTGCCTCCTTTCCCCAGTGACTGTTTCAAATGCATGTTTGAACAATAGAGGTCTATGTCATCCAGAGAACAACTATCAGCATTTAAAACAGTAAAGAATTTATTAAAAGGAAAAAGTCTACATACATACTCAGCAAAGCAACAGATTAAGGAAGGAAGACAGAAAATAAATAAATAAATACACTTTCCTCAGTCCCTCAACTCTATATGTGCCCTTACTGGTCTTATTCTAAGGCAGGCTCCTTAACTTAGCAGTTACAGTGTTCTAAAAGTATAACATTACCTTGGAGTCTTTGTCCAGGCAGCTAGCTCTTCGTCTGTTCCAAGTGGCAATGGCAGCCATTAAGATGGAGACCAGGCATGAGAGCTTTCTCCAGATGGAATCAGCCAAAATTGTCCCCTCTCCTTCCATGCCAAACGATTTTCTCTTCTGTTTTCCCACACCCTTGTGGGTTAAAGAATCCTTTCCTGAAATCTTGAGGAAGATGCCATCTAGCCCGTCACCTCCCAACTCTTTGTGTCCTATCTAGGTGTCAGCCAAGGTGTGAGCTTGTATTTGACCAAAGGGCCATTTGCATTTACAAAGCTTTGATGGCCGGTGTTTGCTAGCACAATTGGCAAGAGCGATAATGCTTGGGAGCTATTGATTTCCCTTTCCTGCCTGTCTTCTGCTAACCAAGAAAAACTTTTTAAAACCAAGTTTGGGGTTTTTGCAAAGCCCGAACATCAAAATAAAATGTATTTCTCCCCACCTTATATAGATATGACTTTGACAATTCTTTATTGGCATATCTTATATAGATGTATGATGCAGCCTTACTTGGAATACTGTGTGCTGCTTGTGCACTGTCTCAAACAAAAAAAGACATTGCAAAGCTGGAGAAGGAGTGGAGGAGGGCAGCCAAGATTAATAAGTGGTTGAAACACTTTTCCTTCACAGAAAAGCCGATTACTGTTGAACAGACTGGAGCTTACAGTTTATAAATAAGATGTCTTAAGATAGAGGTCTATAAAGTTATGCATGTAGTGGAGAAAATGGACAGAGAGAACTTTTTCTGCCTCTCCCATAATAATAGGATTTGGGAGCACCTGCTGACATTTTTGGGCAATAGATTTAGCACAGACAAAAAGAAGTACTTCTTCATTCAGGTAATTCAGTTACAGAATGCCCCACTGAATGTATTGATGGTCACTAGTAGATAAATTTAAAGGGATTCATGGAGAAGAGGTCAATCAACAGCAACTAGCCAAGGCGATTAAACTGAATCTCCATATCCAGAGGCAATACACCTCCAAATCGCAGTGCTTAAAGGCAATTTCAGGAGGAAGTCTTGGTCCCAGTGCCCTGTTGGTTGGCCCTCCAAGGCCACTGTGTGAAACAAGATACTGGTCTGATCCAACAGACAACTTTTAGGTTCATGATGCCGGACCAAAGGTGGGTGAGCACTCAAAGGGCTTTTCCTTTATGGAACACAGCTGTGCCCACAAACTCCTTTTTTTCTTTTTAAATTCTCACCATTACAGGGAACAGTTCCAACAGCACCAGCATCAGACCCAGGAGACAGCAAAGGAGACGGAAGCTGGACCGGGGGCGGTCTCGGAGCCGCCGAGCTGCCACTTCCCGTCCTGAGCGAGTGTGGCCAGATGGAGTCATTCCTTATGTGATCAGTGGGAATTTCAGTGGTGAGTGGCTATGAAGACTAGCGTGTGTGTAATGCATACACATTGTTAGTCCTTCAGCCTGTTATGTAGTTTGACAGTACTTTGTGTAAGGTCCTGATTAGATGCTGGGGTTTGTTAAAGATGCCATCGTACCATCTTGTGTGATGTGTCTTGTGCAATCTGTAATTCTAAGCCTGATTAATATATGATCAAATAGCAGAAAGTTTGCATGACTGGATTTTCCACCTTCTTCGCACTTCTGCTTCTCTACATTTGAGAGAATTGCAGTGTCTTGCTTTCTCTAGTTCGTGATTTCATAGTAGAACATGCTATGTTAAGGAATGTGGGCTGTGCTGTGTTTTGATGGCCAGTTAGAGTTTTGCCTAAAATCCATCACGGAAGTTCCTATTGTCTGTATCCCAAGTATCCAAAAATGCTTCTTATTTCTCTCCGTAGAGCTTCACCTTGTTGATCCCATGCAAATATGCATTTGGGTATCTTATTATCATAATTAAATGATTCCCAGGGCCATTTAAGTAAATGAGATTGTATTAGAATAAATAATTGCCATATTTCTTTATTGACTAATCAATGTGTACAGTCTGAATTGGTGAGAATGTGTCAGTACATGTTTGTAAAAACTTGATGTCTCTCCGTTCTTGCCAGATATTCTATAATACAGTATCAGTTTTAGAAAGACTGCTATTTGCAGGCTTTGCAGTTCATGCAGGCTCTTCTGCCAGTTTTCTGTCCTTCCAGAGGTCAGTGTGCTGTGTCTCAGATGCAAATGTTAGGACCCTCTGCTGACAACCAGCAAGGCATGCTGCAGAAATTGGGATCTTCTTGCAGTGAACCGCTAGAGGCACCAAATGATACTGCTTTAACTTTTCCCAAAAGCCCATGGCTCTCTCACCACCACCACCACCACCCCAGATCCTTACATTGTGCTTCTATCTCTCTTCACTGCAGCTGTTCCTTTCCTGCCTCCCTTCAACCCATTAATCCCCTCTTTACAACTTAAAAACCCCTGGAACAGTCTGTTCCCGTATCAGAACTAAGCCAATCAGAGGGAAAGCAGGCAGAAGGTGTTCCTGTGAGGCAGGCTATGGCCTATGATCAGCCCTAGCATCAAACATAGCCGTGTTTCAAAGTACCAACTAGTGGGCGATTTTTGTGTTTGGGTTTGTTGTTGATTGTTGCCTCATCTGTTTAGTGAGTTGAACAAAAAGTACTTGGATGTTCTGCTATAATTCCCAAGCTGTGAGGCAAAATATTTGTCCAGTTTTCTGTTTTGAGCCAGGGTTTGTGAGCGTGCACCTTTGGAAGCAGCTGTTGTTCCTTAGAACCTCATGCTTCTGTATTTGTTAAGATATTTTTGTCATGCTTACAAGTGTACTAGAAGAAACACTCTTCTGAACAGAGTTCTCATCTACCACTTCCAATTAATGGAATAGCATCTGGGGGGGTTAACCCCAAGGAAGATCCGTAAGGTCATCATTTCCTGCTTTGTTGTGGGGGGAAGCCCATGTTGAGGACCTCCCATCCTTTCTAGAAGCCATTAGTAAATTTTCCATGCACCATAGAATTGTCTTATCACCGTATGTCTTTCTTGGCAATTGATCTCAGCCCTACTCTTTTAGAGAGTTTGGCTAGCTGGTGTTTGACCTCTTCTTGTTTCCTCCAGGCAACCAGCGGGCAATCTTTCGACAGGCCATGCGCCATTGGGAGAAGCACACCTGTGTCACTTTCTTGGAGCGGAATGATGAAGATAGCTACATAGTGTTTACATACAGGCCTTGTGGGTAAGAAGGGGGCATAACTTCTTAGCAGGTAATGGGTCTTCTGTTGTTCAAAGCCAAAGGAAAAGCTTCAGGAATCTCAGAACTCTGTGTATATCTGGACTTCCCGGTACTTTCCAGAGAGTAAAAGGAGTATTGCGAAGTAATTTATGCATTAGACTAAAGGTCACAAATAGTTGATTGCTCATCCAAGATTGTCTACTGTGTGGTCTGGTTTATGCAATCAGCTTTCCTGGGATAGCAAACCATTCCCATAACTTCATCCCCACTGTAACATTTTCAAGGACTTGAATCAGTGATTGGAAGAGATTGAAAGAGAGAAAAAGAACCTCTCTGACCTTTGTTTGGTCTCTCTTTATCTGAGGATAAGTGGTTCAGGATTTTGCCCCTGGAGTAAACAATTGGAAGGCTGTTATCTCCTGATAATCATGAACATAGTGACCTGAAACTCTCCATTGAGCCAATGGAACTTAATGCCATGCTTCTTAAGAATAATATTAGGCTCAGTACACACTCTGAGTGAGCTTGACCACCCTATTCCATTTTATGCCCTGCACTGATAGCATTCTGTTTGCAGTAGGGACAGCTAATGCAACAGTGGCATTTGTCACTGTAAATTCCTTATGCTGGTATATCTTTGATCTCTGTAAAGCATGCAATCTATGTAGAATAAGTTATGCAAAATAGATAAATCAAACAAATTGGCTTAATTTGGTGTAGTGGTTAAGTGCGTGGACTCTAATCTGGGAGAACTGGGTTTGATTCCCCCCTCCTCCACTTGCAGCTGCTGGATGACCTTGGGCAAGCCATAGTTCTGTCAGAGCTGTCCTTGAAAGGGCAGTTCTCTCAGAGCTCTCTCAGCCCCACCTACCTCACAGGGTGTCTGTTGTGGGGAGGGGAAGGGAAAGGAGTTTGTAAGCCACTCTGAGACTCCGAGTGAAGGGCAGGGTATAAATCCAATCTCCTCCTCCTCCTCCTCTTCTTCTTAATATGCGTAAGGTATACAAATTGCTGAATTCATCTTTTCTGTTGGGGAGTTTCAATGAGATTGATGCTCAATGTTAATCTTTTTTCATGCAGAAGTTAGTTTCTACAGTTTCCTTTATGGACTATTGTGTGTGTACATAGAATACAATGATTCAGTATGCACCTACCGTAACACAAATGGTTTCTGAATGTACTCATGGGCTCTCGATAGCTGGGTTCTGTGTTCTTGGGAGCCACTCTATTCTCCAGGTGGCAGCCCAGTTTTTCATATTCTGTAATAAAGTTGTTATTGCCTGCACTTCATAGTTACGGACCGTGTATGCTTGGGCATGGCTGAGACACTACATGCAAAAGAGATGTAGTGTTAAAACATGAAATATCTCTAATATGCAACTTCTGAAAACAGATTTTAAATTTAAAAACCTCTGGTTGAAATGGTCACAGATGTTCATTTCTCTCTCAAGGAATCCTCTCTGGGTTTGGATCCACATGTAACTTTTTGTTGTATATTCTGTAGCTACCTGGGGTTCTTCTCACACGTGGCCTTCTCCACCATGAAGGTGGTGCTCATCTCCTTAATTTGGAGAGGGAAAGAAAGGAGAGCCTATGAAGCAAGGACTGGGTTAAAATTAAGAGAACTCCCAAGTGTGTATAGACCATAAACATCAAGAAGAGAAGGAACAGAAAGAACAATAATCCTATAGCAAAAGATCAAAAACATCTGAACAAACAGCTATGCTAGTTGGTGTCAAGTGAACATAAAGGCAGTCTGGAGATGCTAAGTTTGACCATTTCTTCTTCTCCATACAGGTGCTGTTCCTATGTGGGGCGTAGAGGAGGAGGACCTCAGGCCATCTCCATTGGGAAAAACTGTGACAAATTTGGCATTGTGGTACATGAGCTGGGCCATGTCATCGGTTTCTGGCATGAGCACACACGCCCAGACAGAGATGGCCATGTGTCCATTATCCGTGAAAACATACAACCAGGTAAAGGCTCCGATTTCCTCCCTGCTTTTCCTCCCTTCCATGCTCCACCCCACTAGAACAAAGAAATTAGCGGTCCAGCAACATCTGTTTGTTGAGCAGAGCAAGAGAGTTCAACCCTCAGGCCCACTATCCTTCCACCACCCATTCACATAAGCACCCTTTTACTTCCAGCCACTCATCTAGCTTTTTACGCCAATAAAGGTCAACTGAACTGAACTGAACACTCATCTAGCCAGTACTGCTTTTTGCCTCACATAGCCATCGGCACGATACTTAATGTATTCCCCTTCCTACAGTATCCACACTTTGCCTGACACTATTGGACTCACTGGCAAAGCAACAGAGGCACAGTTCTCGACAGAGAGCCGAGGCGCACAGTGGAACTAGTGTGCCCTGAATTTAGCCACTGAGTTGTGCTGACTAAGCCAGAAATAATCAGCGGTTGCTCAGTCAGCGTTAATTCAGTAGTCAGAAGCAAGACATTGCCCTGGGGCTTTCTTAAGCAGATGTGACCCTAATCTTTGTTTTGTTTTGGGAGCAAGATAGAACATACATCCTTCAAGAGGGAGGCAGTGTGGGATGCAGCTAGCTAGTACTGCTATGTGAGTGGGAGAAACTGGAGCTATTGGCTTATGGAGAACAGGTATTTACTCCATAGCCAGTATAGTCCTGCCTGAATTTTTTCCCCTCATGCTTCTGCCTCCTATTGTTTCCGCAGGGCAGGAGTATAACTTTCTGAAGATGGAGCCTGAAGAGGTGGAGTCATTGGGAGAGACATATGATTTTGACAGCATAATGCACTATGCACGGAACACCCTTCTCCAAGTGAGAGTTAAAAAAAAATAATACAATTGCTTCATATGTTCACCCAAACCACACACACATTCATCCATGAACATGTGTACCTGGCTGTTCCTTCAGGTGAAGGTCACACCTTTGGAAGCACATTACCTGGTTTTAGCTTATACTTTTCTCCCCAGCCCAAAATTTTGAATAAGCCTATGAAGCTGAGAGATATGGAATCCCCTGTTGGTCTGGGCATTGGTCTATATCTATACCTAAGCCATATACAGAGTTGGCCTTGGTTGTTTGGAGCTCCAGGTGGAGCGTTGATTCAGAGCTCACACACACACTGTCAGCTAGCCTTTCTCTGTTTCCTGCTGCTGATATTAACCCCAAGAACAGCCATTTGCCAGATCTGGGAAGACAAAGCAGTGTGGTTGTGATTGCTGACAAGCCTGGTTGGGGTGGTCACGGATTGTGCTTGCTTGATATTGCAGATTACAAAAGCTTCCTCTCTGGGATGAAGAGAAAGGACCAAATCACAGGATGTATGGGAGCATTTGCACAGCTGATGTGTAGGATGTACCAACCATAGTTGGGTCAACTTTAGGCATCATTGGAGAAAACTAATCTTTTTTGGGAGGAACTGTAATCTTCAATTGTTGTGATTTTTTTTCTTTCTCATGATAGCTGAAGCCTTCTATCCTGTGACATATGGGTGTTGTTCCTGGTCATTGCTTCAGATTTTATTTTTTATTTTATTTATTGAAAACATTTTAAGGTACATTTTCACCCATCTTAGGATCCCCAAGGTGGTGAATAATAAAAAACATTCAAACAATATTAAAAACATATAAATATGTAAAAACAATTTAAACAGAAGACATAAACAAATAAGCACATGAATGGGAGTAAGATAGGTATTTCCCCACATCTGTCTTTCAAAATGATTGAAAAGAGGTGCTATTAGATGGCATGTGTCCGACCCCCATCCCTTGCACATTTCCTTTAGAAAGACTTGGTGACTGAGCTGCTTATGTTCAGCTGACTCGTTACTACTTTGGGTTTGGGAAGCAATTATCTGATTGGCTGGTGATTCTGTGTCCTCTTCCGCTGCAGCATGTGTGCGTGTGAGCATGTGTACATGCACACAGTGAGCCTGCTTTTGGAACACTGTGGTCCTAATTATGTGTAGGTAGAACTGTGAGCTAACTTGTTGGGTGGTGAGCCTAGTTTTTCAGTAAGTCAGGAAGTTGGATTATGTCACAGTCTTCTGGGGCTTTCTGTTTTTCAAATGCCTGCCCCAGGAAGAGGGTTATATTTCTACCCTAATTCTCACTGTGGTGGTAAACTGATGTCTGGTCTTCAGACTGCTTAGGTAGTTTGAGTTTCTTAATACAAAATATTTATCTGAATATGGAAAAGTAGCAGAATCCTTTTCCTTACTATCTAGTTTTCTGTTTGTATTTTTCTTTTTCTTTCTTTTTTTTGTGAGCTTCTGCCTGCCTCCTGAAGGGATATACTGCAGAAACAAATTTCTCCCATGATTAAGAGCCTGGTTTCTATCTGGCTTTAATTAGGGTGTTCCAAAATATTGTAAACTAGTTATTGTACGTACAATATAGATTTAGAAAAATTAAAACAGTATTTAGATCCTCAGAGAGTGTGGTCAGTCCCTTTCTGAAACACTGAGAGTAAGCATCTCCTCTGATAAACTTTTTATGTGTGTGGCTGAGAAACATATGGCTCTCTTCCTCAACCAGAGTACCTCCCCCCCCCATAATGTGAGAGAAAGGATGTTGCCCTGCTGGCACATGGGTGATAACTCATGTGGCACATCACATAGTTTTATAGCATTTAGAAAGGCCCATAGATTTTTTTTTGCCACAGGAATGGCCCTTTTCATTTTTTTACCACAGCTGATTTCACAGGTATGACAACCCAGGCCAATCTAGTCCCCAACCCCCTCACTTCTCTCACCCTTCCTTGTATCTGCCTGCTGGTTTATCAAAAGGATTGGAACGAGTGTGCGACTTAGAAAGTGGCTCACAATGTGAGGTCGTGGAGTCTTTTTATGTAGCCAAGTGAGAGTAGAAATCAAAGTGTATAATAGGAGAGGGGATTTCATGGGCTGGAGAAAACAGAAGAGATGCAGGAGGAGGTACAGCTTGGAGCAGGGAGGTGGCTTTAATGGAATTACTCCTGAGGAAGCCAGTGGGGGTTCAGACCTTTAGTCAAAGTCAGTCCTGTGGAGGACTGGGGCAAATATTTCTCACACACATCTTGCACCCTGTCAGTGCCAGGAGAACGCGGTCTTTCCTTCATCCTTTTGTCCCTTTTTATCTGAGGCTGCATGAAGGAGATTCCTTGCCCAGGCTGCCAGGCACGCACGGAACCCTGAGGTTCTCTTCTTTCTTAGTCTGGCTTTTGAATAGCACCACAGTGGGCCTTTCTAAGTCCAGGCGCAATCAGACACAGAACAGAACTGCTTAATGTGCTTCTGCGTGTGCCCAAGCGAGAGCTGGAGAGCTCAAGAGAGAAAGAAACAGCTGCCTCATTCATGTGGCAGGGAGTATGCTGATGCCAGAGGGCATGTGGAGGGATTGGGGGGGGGAGACAAATGAAGGGAGAAAGGGGGGTGGTCTGGAGTCAGGGCCAGTGAAGAGGAAAAACTGTTGACACAGTGAATTTCTCTGCTCTGAAGCACTTTGGAATCAGGATATTCCTCTCAGAAACGCAAAAGGAAACCCTGCTTTGAGTTCCACTTAGAGGCCCGGGCTGGAAGGTCATTTTGGAGCAGCAACTTGAATAAGCTGAAGCTTCTCTGTAGAGGAGAATCTCATCACGTGATTGTCCCAAGGCAAACATCAGCGCTTCTGTCAAAACAGCTCTGGCAGGCTCTATTGAGGCTGGCAATGACCGGACGGCTTCCTGCCTTCTCTAGGAATCAGGAGCAAAGCCGAATGTTTACCTTAGGAAAGGCAAAGGGAGGCAGTGTCTGTGCACTCGTGAAATGTCAGCGCCACTCTGTCTCTCTCCCTTCCAAGCTCGGGCTGCTTGCTTCTCTTCTGCTCTGTGTACATTCAGCCTCCTGACGACTGCCTGTACTTTCAGCGGTAGATTTGCACGAGCAAAATGTAGGAAGAGTTTATGTAGAATAGATGTAGCTTCCCCGCCATACACAAGGCATCTCCATGCTGAAATATGGAAGCTGGCCATACACATTTCAGTGTCTGGCAGTAGTTCTTGTGGGTCATGTGGATGTCTGGGAGGCCACCATGGATTGAATGCTTTCAACAGCATGCACTTTAGGGATTAGGCCATGTGCAGTACATAAGTGGGTAAATCCCCACAACTTAACCTACAAGGGTTCCCCTGGCTCTGATTTTACCACTTTAACTTAACCTAGCTTCAGAAACTCAGGCCAAGAGATAGTTCTGCAGATCAGACATGGCCCTTAGTAACTCCTTTACCCCTTACATTTCCATTTTCCTCTTGCTCACAGTAATCTAAATGAACAAGTTTATGTGTGTCCAGGGAGTATCCTCATTTATATTTCATGAGGTTGAGATGAGTCTTCAAAATTCCGCAGCTGGAAATAACAAAAATGACAAAATATTCTTATTTCAAAGCAAACACAGCTGAGCAGTCTGGAAAGGACTCTGGCAAAATTTCAGAAGTTGGGTAAAGAAGGAGACCTTGGAAATAGCAGGTGATATTGATCAGTATAAGACTGGATATAACATAGGTTGCAGATGTGGATATGCACTTGATGTGGAGAAGCTGTTACAGTAGCATCTTCATCCTCATTGCTGCTCCATCCATTCCTCCCCACTGCACGGTGGCTTCTTCACAGAGGTGTATTTCCACCTTGGCTTCTGAACTAGAGCCCTCCCTTTTTAAGCTTCCACATGATGTCATGTTGTAATTGTCTCCCACTGCCAATAAGAGAAACTGACAACATAACAAAAAGGAACTGTAATTACCTTCCAGGTCCACATCAACTAATTTCTACTCCGAATCCTATTAATTTCACAACTTTTGCCAAAATGGTATCGCGTTGTGGAATGAAACTTGATGTTGGGATGGACTGTAGCTAGAATCCCAGCAGAAGGGCTCTTCAGAAAACTTGTATGGATTGTTCTCTGGAAAAGAGAACATTTGAGTGGTTTTAGAGATGGAGTTTTAACCCCTTCCTTGGGAGTTTAATGTAGACCACGTTGCTTTCCTACACCTGTTACTTTGCAACCCACTTCTCTGTTCTCTTGGCCCATCTGTGCTCCACTCTTGGTTGGAGTATGTAGTGTTCTGAACTTTTCTCAAATGTACATCAGCACAGAGCCCACTCTTTCTTCACAGAGCTGCCTCCTGTGTCTGCCCAGGGAAGCATCGTCCTTTTCATTTAACCATTGCCAAAGGGATGCTGAGAGTCTGGAGGTACAAATCACTAATCATCTTGAGTTCAAGGAAAGGGAGCAAAGGAGCAGAGCCAATTCCCCAGCTGTGGCTTGCAACAGACTTGCTTGCGTTACATCACAACCCTATCACTTGGTAGATCATGCTTTCATTTGGCGTCAAACTATCTTTCACCGGGATGCTTGTCTGTGGATTATCCTTCCCTTTTTGTTGGGTTGTCATTGTTCTCCTTGAGGAGGCTGGGTTGGCAAGCAAATCTAAGTTTGAGGATTCTTGCATGCATATGGCTGCAGGCTAGGAGGGTGTGGCCCATGGAATTTTATTCTTGCTCAGCACTTTGCTGCTGATCAGCATGCTCGGGCTGGTACTGTTGTTAGCTCTATCAAGGCTGCCAAGGACATGCCTCTAGGTCTCTCTTCTTTGAGGCAGACACAGTCCAATTATGCAATAGACTCATGAGCACTACTCCCAAGCTGCCTATGATGCAAGGAGGGGCTTCCTTTACCATTAGGGTTGCTATCTTTTATTATGACTTGGTGTGCCTTTAGCCCAAAGGCACCTGTATAAATGCGGTCTAATAAAATGATCTTATAATATAGGGAAGTCTGGCTCTGCAACA